GGCACTATCCAGACGCTTGTTGCCATGTTCTGTACTGCACCAGATAGAGTATTTGATTGAGCGGTGGATGTCATCTTCAGAATAGCTCTTGATAATGAAAACACGTCCGTTTTTCAAGTTCCAGTCAAAGTCTTTGGGGTTGTAGTTGTTGAGGGCACGCAGTTTCTCCAGCACGGGATGCACTTCTCCAGAGCAAGGGGAGGCACTCAGTGGGACTCCCCCGCCCAGACCAAAGCCCTCACCCCGGTTCCTGGGGGCCACCCAACGGTTGGGGGGTGGACCAGGCTGCTGGGGTTGCTGCTGATGAAGGGGCTGTGGGGGGCCAGGTTGAGAGGAAAGGTGCAGGTGTGGAGGGCCAGGGGGCATAGGCTGGGGGTGTTGGGGGGACTGGAGAGAATGGAGCTGGAAGGGCTGGTGTTGGTGTTGGGGCTGGTGTTGGTGTTGAGGCTGAGGGGGCAATGGGTTCTGCAGTAAGGGCTGGGGCTGAGCTAGGAGAGGCTGCTGCACCATAGGCTGCGGGGGCATCATAGTCTGAGCTAACGGGGGCTTGTTCAGAGAGCCCTTATCGTCCCAAGTACCAATGTTCATATTGTGCTTTATGGGGGGCGGGGGAATGGCGCTTCCCCCCATCCCCATGTTGGCTTTGGGTTTGACCTTGGGCTGTGGCTTGGCCGGCTTCTTGGCAATAGCTGCCCAGGAGGCAGGTTTAGGTGCGGATGAGCTGACAGACGGAGGGAGGCTATTGGCTGCCATACTGCTCATACCTGCTGTGCCTCCTAGGGGCGAGCCCACGGTTTTGGTGACAGCTGCCACCATGTCCGTACCCAGTTTCAACCCCGTCATACCTTGCTCAATGCTGTTCAGCACCGGGACTTTACTAAGCTGGGTGTCGCTTCCAAAGCCCGCCTGTCCGTCCGTGATGGCCCGACCCAGCGAGCTGGGGGCGTACCCATAGCTGTTACTGTAGACCGAGCTCTGCGTGGACTGACCCTGAGAGACACTGGTACCCCAGGTGGAAAAGTCTGCATTACCAGGGAAGAAGTTGAAGCCATGCTGGCCCAGGAAAGGAGGGGTGTTTCCCAGGGCTCCTGGCTGGCTGAACACGCCATCAGGGATGAAGTGCGGCTCGCCATTGCTCATCTGTCCATAGGTAGTTAGGTAGGGCATAGGAGGGTCCCCTGCTGTTGACCAAGCGGCTTCTCCCAGAGAGTAAGGGAAACCAATGGATGGAGCATAGTAGCTGGGCATGTAGGGGTCAGACATTGGTGGATAGCTGTTACTCTGCGTGGCACAGGGAAAGAGTCAGTTAATGCACTATGCATGATAATTAATAAATCAGCACATAATTAAACATGATGACATCATATGAAAGGTATGCTATGTAGGATTATCGGCTACTGTTGTAAACATACTCGCCAGCAAAAGTGAAACTAAAAGCCGACCCTATATTCACGGTGTTTCGCCTTGCTATATATATTTTTATTTGGCACTGTGTCTTTTGGATGCCTGCTGCTTACATCTGGCACCTGGTTGCTATATTTCTACAATCCCCAAACCTCACCTGAGCGCTGTAGGGGTACACGCCCACTACTTCTAGTGGGTCATAAACGAAAATTGAGAGGGATCACCTCTGTATGAGTCTGTACATTGTTTTTTTTTTTTTTAAGGAAAACCCTGCATCGTATATGTTTAAGAACACTAAATATAGATGGTTTGAGTGACAGAAACACATACCATCTTTAGAGACAAACATGACACAGTGAACTGGAGTGACTGACACCTAAAGTTATGCAACAAATGTGTCCATAACATGAGGTTATAGGCTTAATACTAGGTGACACATTCTAAGTATGTAGGAATTTACCTGATTTGTCTGGCCGCTTAGATAAGGCTCAAAATCATCATCATTGACACCATCCTTTTGATGCATTGATCCGTTTTGCACTACGGATGGAAAGACAGGACATTAAATCACAATATGTACTGTACAGGGAGATATCTTAGGCATGGTTTAGTGGTGGTCAAATGTGAAACATCACAAGATCTCAGTGTGGTTTAACATTATCAAAACAAACACAATAAAGGACAGTCAGTAGCATACATAAGCTGCAGTGTCAAAGCACAACATCAAAACAGATTGTACCATCACCCTGAAGTACAATTTCAAAATGGGGGCTTGTAATCACCAGAGTTAATATCCTTACCTTTATTTCCTTGTCCTTTAGGTCTCTGAAATAATGAGCAGCACAGAAGAGATGTTGTCAGATCACGACACACACACACATACACACACACAGCAGGCTGTATGCTACATGAATAAATACACCAGTCGACAGTAGTAACCTCAGACTACAGCCATCAGCCCGGATGTTAACATTTACAGGTTGCTTCGCGTTATTATTGACCGGATGTCAAACGCTCTGACATCCAGTAACTAAACGGTGCCGCATTGGCAACCGGCTACAGCTAGAGTTGGTTGGCAGTACAGTCGGCCTACATTACAGCTAATAGCTACTATATATCAAAGACTTTTTTAGCCTGTTTGATCCGGCGTGCCGAACCGGATCAAACTGTTGTCGGCAAAGTTTCATTTCGCCGCACGGCTAATTTATATAGCACCTTCCGGCTGTCAATACACGAACCTGATCGACTGTGGTCGCAGACATCCTCCAGGAACCGAAACTGATAGCTGTTTGCGAGACTGTCCACGGCTTCCCCCTGCCTCTCTCTGCACTCCGGTGCTTTCCTGGCTCGTCTCTCGGGCTGTCCAATCACTCTGTGGCGGCTACAAGGCGGCGTTTTCCTCCCGTGGTCAGACCTGACGACGATCCGCGGCTCGTGCTCGTTACAAACGGCGACTTTGTGTCTGTGGAAACGGCGTCAGTTACCGTGTGCGATCCTGCCACAGATGGTCTCTAACAGTCAGTCTGAAAGTGACTAGTGTCTTACTGGAATATCCCTTACCATTTTCCACAATGGCGGATAGGCTTTTTACTCCCGCTTCCGTTCCGTTCTGCTGCTCAGTGACCTTCCGCCTGTGACGCTCTGAGTCATGTTACAAACTGACACTTCACATGACAGTCACAAACACACAACAAGTTCCCTGCTTCCTTACATTATATCCTCTAACCAGGTTTAATCCAGCCTTTTGACTCACCTGCTATCACCCTGTGTGGTATCACAATAACAGTCACCTCTGCAATGGGGAGCCTCTTTAGCTTAGCCTCTACATGCCCAACACTAATGCATGGACGCCTCAATTCCCATGTGGGTAACATAAAATAAAAATAGTGCAAAATAAAGCCAGTGCAAGAAAAGTCAATAAGCAGAAGTGGAAAGTAACTAAGCACATTTTCTCAAGTACTGTACTTAAAAACAAATTTGACTACTTGTACTTTTTCCATTTTCTGCTACTTTTTATTCCTCTGGCCTACGTTTCAGAGGGAATAAAAACACATTATTAACCCATAACATATTTATTTTAACCTATAAAATTGCCCAGTAATATCAAATAAGCTCCCCATCAACCAGCTAACATTAAAATGATGATGATGATAATAATAATAATAATAATAATAATAATAATAATAATAAACTTTATTTCTATAACCAGAGTTACAGAGCACTTTACAGTACCAAACAATACCTGATACCTGAATATTGATAGATAGATAGATAGATAGATAGATAGATAGATAGATAGATAGACAGTGTTACAGCAACAAGTAATCAAACAGTATATGGACATTAGAATAGAGAAATAGAAATATAAAATATATGCACGATGCATGATTATATACACCAATATCATTATTGTTTATTATATTTACACTATTGTCATATTTTTTATAATGGAAAGGAATTAAAAGTGTGTGTTACAGTTAAACCTGGCCTGACTCAGATAGAAACTAGTTTTCAGAAAACACATTACAATACAGAAACAGAAACAATCAACAGAAACATAGGCAGCTACACAAACGGTGACGAGTAGGGGACTGAAGTGGAGTGAGTAAAATGGAATTTGGGATTTAAATCAGTGGCTGCAGGTGTGTCCTTCAATCAGATAGTGTTTATATGCATGTTTGAAATGTGTAATAGAGCTTATTGCTAATGTAGTGTGGGATCTTGTTCCAGATCTTAGTGTAAATGTGACAAAATGATCTCTGACCATAATTATCTTTGTAAGGTGGTACAGGAATATGTGCATCCTGTTGCTTAAATAAAGGATGTGAATACTATAATTCCAGCACTGTCTATAAAGTGTTGAAATTAATTGAAAAATACACCTATAGACTAAACTGTTTTTACTTTGTATTGACTTCTGGGCTACTTACTTCCCTTTATAATAACATTCAAAACCAACAGGCCTTTAGCTGCCATTATGGATAAAAGATTAAACATGTTACTGAACTGCAGAGATTTTGTGCTATTTATTAGTTTGGGAACTGAAAATGAGTAAAAACAAGGTAGAGAAAATTTGCTTGGTGAAATATGACTGCTATATTTCATCAAGCATTGCACTTAAGTACAGTTTTGAGGTATTTGTACTATGCTTTTACATTCACTGCTACCTTATACTTTCTTATACTTACAGTATAGTGACTAGTTGCTTTGCAGATTAAGAATTTGCACATAAAACACATGGTCAGTTTATAACATATGATGAATTGTGAAGATTAAACTGCATAACAGAACATTAAATCAGCTGCAACATTAAAATGCTGCACACATTTTATTTATTCAGTAGGCTATGTTATGACACTAACAAAGGCCATTCTGTTTTTAATGAGTTATTTTTATTTTGATATTTTAAGTAAAACTTTTCATAACGGAGGACTGGAGTTTATTTACACTTTACAAGCCTGTTACTTCTTTTACTTTTTGGATCTGAGTACTTCTCTCTCTGCTCCACAGAGCTGCTCTGTAGTTGTAATGTAATGGACTACAACTGATGCGCTCCGTGAGTAAACGAGACTCACCGCTGCTGCTCTCGCGATACTTCATCAGTGGGTCGCGGAGCAGTATGGCAGCCGTCGCGCTGAGGTCCTGCCGCAGAGGACTTTCACAGATTTTAAGCAATGGAGGGCTCACAGCTTTGTCTTCACAGCGCCTGGAAGGTTTGTTCAAGTCTCCGCTTTTGACACAATTATTCCCTCAACGTTTGAAATGTCTATGAGGGTATTTAAAGGCAGACGAGGGGGTGTGGCTCACACAGACTGCGTCGTCTTAAAAATTTAGGGCATGTAAACGGTGTTGCGTTTGCGCTTGTGAATGTTTTGCGCCATATGTGTTCGTTATTATAGTGTTTGAAACTGCTTCGACAGTAATTAGCTTCATTTAGATGTTTAACTACGGTAAAATGTTGGTATGCTAGGGCGATATGATAAAATGACCACGCTGTTTCCTCAGTGTCCATGTGCGGATTTCTAGATTGCGTCAATGGAAATCTAATCTTATGAAATAGGGTGTGTATTCAGGCAAGTTGTTTTTCTATTGTGGCATATTTACCGTACAATTGAATCATTTACACAATATTTTTTTGCCATAGCACTAATATGTTGTACTGTGTCAACCAGGAGTCAGGAGACACAAGTCCACAGTCCAGTATGCATCACGACCAGATCTCCCAAAGCTGGCCTACAGAAGGGTGAAGGGGAAGAGCCCAGGTGTGGTCTTCCTCCCTGGATATGCCTCCAACATGAATGGACAGAAAGCTGAGGCACTGGAGGAGTTTTGTAGGTCACTAGGGCACTCATACCTTAGGTAAGTCATCCAAACACACTTAGAGAAGTACATACTACATAATATAATGCTCATGATCTCTGACTAAAGAGGCCTACAGATTAGATCAGATACATGTAGTGTGTGTGTGTCTGTAGGCTGGGTTTCCATCTTTAAAAGCTAAGAAACACCCACACTACCTACAAAACAATAAAACTTTTGCACTTAGCAATTAAATTCCACTTATATAGCTCTTAAAACTGAACACTGGAAATCCAAAGTGTGCTAAGGAGCAGCAATAAAATAAATGTACTGGAAAAGATAAATGAATACACCCACAGCTACACTCCTACAGCCTTGAGAGCAACAGGAGAAGCACAGGTAGACAATAAGTAACAGTTTTTAAATCGTTAGTTGACTCCAGTAATCCATAGTAAAAGGTGAAAGTGCTAAAAAAAATACACGGTCACCATATGATTACAAGTTACAGTACATTTAGCGGCACTGTGAAATAAGGAAACAGCAAAAAATTTAGCTCAAATAAAGTCACAAGTCTTAGTATAAATAATATATTACATAATGTTTTAAACACAATCTAATTTTGTCTCCAAGTAGCACAATGCCTCAAGATAACACGGTGCATATGAAATCAAGTTTAGTGGATGTGGTTATGGCACAATCTTTAACATCTTGTTCCATTATCCTTCTCTATGTTCCTGAAATATAACAAGTGGTGATGTTTTTCACTGAGATGGACCCTTAATTTCAACAGACGTGAAAGAGCTTTGTTTAATGATTTCCAAATTGAAAAGCCAAAGAACTCCATTTACAATAATGTGGACCAGTTGAAGCAACAACTGTTAACTTGCGAGAGGCCGTAACTAGGAGTTATACATGTATATTAAAATTATTGCTTCATTTTTCCAGTTTTCATTGAATTCCTCCAACCATTTCAAACCTCTCACTGTCCTATAAAGACTAAATTCCTAATGTGGCTGGATGTAAAAGACATGGCTCCATCCCATGTTAAGTGAAGTGCATAACTGATTTACTGCACTCATAGTGTCTAACACAGTATTCAAATTAACCTTGTCATTGGCCTCTCATGGCTTGCCTTTGTTTAACCTTCTGATCCCCATGCCCTTGGGTTGTTCTATTTTTGTTTTCCCAGGTTTGACTACACAGGACATGGGGCCTCAGAAGGGGTGCTATCAGAAGGAACTATTGGCACTTGGAAAAAAGACGTCCTTTACGTGCTGGATGAGTTAGCGGAGGGGCCACAGGTAAATATTTCATGGGGTTATAGCACTTTGCATATTACTGGTGGTGAGTTATCAGTAAAGTTATGAAAATTCTGCTCAATGGGGATGGGAATTGAAAGTCGGTTCCCATTTAGAGCATGTCAGAATTCATGCTGGCTGGAAGGAGCACTGTCGCAGCTTTTCATGTAAGGCTTGTGTCATGAAAGGAAAACATGTTGAAATGTTTGTTTTTCAACAAGCTGTGCAAGAATGGCAAAATGTAAGACTTGCAACACCTTGATTTCAGTCACGAGTTACAAATACAAGTAGGCTTGGGAAGTAGCAAGGTACTGCAGTATACCGGGGCATTTAGAAACCCCGAAAGTATGATTTTTAATACCAATACCATTTATTATTCTACAGGCCATAAGTATAAACAAGATTTGTCTGAGTAGACTAACTGCATATTAGAAACACAGTATTGTAGGCATGGCAATGACGTACATGCTACAATTACTTCTATCACCAGTAGCTCAGCTTTAATACTTTTTTAACACACAAATACAGTCATATACTCTATACCCTGATGAAATGTCAGAAAGGTATTAAGGTATGAAAACTAGATACCGCTCAAGTCTAATTACAAGGTTATATTTGTTCAATATGCAGGCATTAAATTACAAGAATATGTGTTTTTAATAACCTGCAGCTTCATGATCCATCCTCCCATAGTGATACAAGTGTTTCTCCTAAAATCAACCCGTAAAAATGATAAGATACTCATAAATGGATAAATAATCAAACATCAGAGCCACACAGGAAGCCTGTGAAAAGAGAAACCAAAAATGGAAAACTTGTGTTGTTTGAACACAATTTAATAATATAATGTTAATCACAAGCTCTAGTTCCACCAGCCTGCAAACCAAACAAATCCTTGAGCTCGTGTTTTATTTGCTCTGGCAGATGTGTCTCGTCCTCCCCGTACAGACAGATTGACATATAACAGGTTGGCTCAACTGTTGATCTAATATGGGGCGTGTATCAGGTGATGACTCACAACGTGTTGAGCCTTCGCGCTTAATGCAAAATATGTGTTGTCATTTTTGGCTCGTACATCCACGCACTGGGGCACACTTTGGCAAGCATCAGCCTAGATTGGTAGAGAGGAATGCTGTTGAGGCACTTTTGAAAACAACAAAGATGGCTGCAGCCGATGAGGAACTTTGTGTTAAAGTATTATTTTCAAATTCTGATGGCGAAAAATGCAACACTTATTTACTGACATGTCAACGCTACACCATCACAGTTCATCTCTGCACGTTATTGTGTGTTTACATTTGTCCATCGTGCACTTCACATTTTGTTACTCTGATTGGTTGTAGGTCTATCCAGATGTGTACAAAGGTATTTTGATCTTCGGCCATAGAGTGCATGAGAGATGACATTTTATTTGTAAGCCAATGCAGAAAGCAAATGTCAATTTTTCCATTGGGTTTTGGATTATTGCACAAAAAAAGCTCTGTTGCAAACAAAAGTTTATGATACTTAGACATTTTGTTCAGCAAGACAATCTTCACAAATAAACACCACTTTAATGCTTTTTGAAGCGTGAATCGCCATAACTAAAAAGCTAACGTTAAATGACCTACACCACGGTCACATGGCTTCAGTGTCACCACCACAGCAAGGCTGTAAAGCCATGTTCGGCGTGATGATGTTGTGTGCTTTCTTTTAGCCACCTGTGAGTTATTGCCTTATTTAAGACGCCTAAATTTTACACTGGCTGCCAGTTCAATTCCGGGTCTATTTTAAGGTGCTGCTGTTAACTTTTAAGGCGCTACATGGCCAAGCCCCTGACTATATATGTAGCCTTCTCCAACTCTGTAGCACCAATCAGACACTCAGATCCTCAGAACAGTTACTTCTGTCAGTCCCTCACACTCACTTTGTGACTCGTGGTGATCGTGCTTTCCAGACTATAGTGCCTGAATTGTGGAATGCCCTCCCCTTTTCTTTGAGATCAGCAGCGTCATATGACACATTTAGAACACATATTAAAACTTTATTATTCAGACAAGCTTTTAGTTAACTTATTCTACATTACTATGTGTTTTTATGACACATTATGTTTTGTTATAACCATCTTACATACTTGCATGATTGTTTTGTTGCTTGCTTCAAGTATTTTATGTTTTTGTTTTTATATGTTTTTATATCTTATTGTTTTGTAACTATCTGCTTGGAACCGGGAGTGCTAACTCATCTCTGAGTTATAGGACTCATTCCTGCACTACTCTATTGATAATGCCCATTGGAAATCAAAAATGAACTGAGAGGGTTCTGGTGAATCAGGGCTCTAGCTCCACCGGCGAATTATTGAATTTTACAAATGTTAGTTTTTAGTCAATAATTTGTCATCTTTGTATAGAGATCCTCTCCAAACATCAAAGACTTAAATAAATACTTATTTGAATAATGTAAGTTGATGTTTTTTCACAAAAAATTTCAATTACCTTGTTAAAAACTCATTAAATGGGGCGTCGGTGTCTTAGCAGATAGAGCAGGCGCCCCATGTACAAGGCTGTTGCTGCAGCGGCCTGGGTTCGACTCCAGCCTGTGGCCCTTTGCTGCATGTCATTCCCCCTCTCTCTCTCCATCTTTCACGCTTGTCTGTCCGATCGATTAAAGGCTAAAAAGCCCCAAAAATATCTTTAAAAAAATAAAATAAAAACTCATTAAATTACATCCACTCATTCTTTAGAATTCTGATGTCAAACTCTGCATGTCTTTCTGCGCAGTGAAGTTGAAAGTAACAATAAGTGAAACACAATTTTGAGTGAAGGGGGGACTGTATTATTCGTTCATCGTCAAGTCATAAAGTTAACACTAAAAACTGTATTTTAAACCTTATTTTGCTCTGAACAAATTACCAAAAAATGGATTTATTAGAGAACCAATAAAAAAGAATCGGGGCAAGAGAAGAATCAATAATATAATTAGAGTTAATTGAATCCCTTTAACCTCCATCCCACTGTATGTTTCACTATGTCTCCAGAAGATGTCACTGTGGTACCACATTTGTGTTATTAGTCTGTCACCACTGTGATCATACTGCAAGAGTCTGCTGTTGTCTTTATGGAGTGTTTTTAATTAGGTTTTTAGATAAAAAACAATACTAATCTGTTTCATTTTATTTATGTTGGGTTTTTTTTTTACTTGTAGATACTGGTGGGTTCCAGTATAGGCGGTTGGTTTATGCTGCTGGCAGCCATTGCAAGACCAGAGAAGACTGCAGCACTGGTGGGCATCTCCACTGCCGCTGATCACATCGTCACAGCGTTCAATTCTCTTCCTCTGGAGGTAGGAACATATAATATTATCACATATATTCAATTTTGTGGTTATGCTGTGCGAAACTTTGCAGGCATTTTCATTTAAATGTTTTTCTGAATTGGATTTGTCCATGTTTGAATGCGCAGACACGCAAGGAGTTTGAGGAGAAGGGGGAGTGGACAGTCCCCACCAAACACTCAGAGGAGGGTCTTTATAGGTTCAGCATGGACTTCCTGCGAGAGGCAGAAAACCACTGTGTGCTCCAGAGTCCCATCCCCATCACCTGTCCCGTACGGCTCATTCACGGGCTCAAAGATGAGGAAGTACCCTGGCACATCTCCATGCAGGTTGCAGAGCGCGTCCTCAGCCCCGATGTGGATATCATCCTGCGGCGGCATGGCCATCACCGCATGTCCGAGAGGGACGACATCAAGCTCATGGTCTACACTATTGATGATCTCATAGACAAGCTGACCACTATGGTCTGAGAAAGGGACGGGGGAGTGGAGCTTGAGAGGTTGCTGAGATGAGAGAAGGACTGAGCTTACTGGGAAGTCAACCCTCAAGAAATTTACCAAACCATGGCATGTCTTCGCCAAATATGACCTTTTATCCATCTCTGTTACTCTCCCAGTATTTCAGCTGTCATTTCATCATGTTGTTACAGTGCAAACTATAATGAAAGGGAGCTCCCCTGCTAGCTGTTCCCTTATATCTTCAGGTTGCATTTGTATGTGTTCCAGGTTATTATATGGAGTGTTATGTTGGCCTTTATTAGGTCTGCTGTTGCTGCTGTCCCGGCCGCCATTCCTGCTGTTTGACTGTCTCCCCCTCCCTCATTACTTAGACGTGTAGTTTTCCTGTGCCTTTTTTAATCACTTTTCACCCGTTTTGGCCAATAAAACCTCTGCACACTAGAGTGCAGGTCTCAGTTTGTTACCACAACATAATCATCTGACAAACAATAACTGTCTTTTGATATTGCAATGCATACATCCTATAGTGTAGCTCTAAAAGTTTTTACATCTGCAGGAAATTAAGCTGAATTACAGAAATGTATCTTAAGCTAAGTAGTCAATCACCATGATTGCTAAACAGATAAAAATTGTATTTCTAAATTAGTATATTTTTAATACTAATTAAGATGAGGCAAACAAACAGCAAAACAATGAACAAAAACACAATTTGCCAGGTACATTCGTATATCTACATGAAATCTTGGTTCTATATAGTCAGCTGAAATCATCAAGGGTTGTAGGCTGCAGCCATTTGAGGTTTATTTTTGCTAGTAGGACATTCTGTTACATGACTCCTCATACCTGCTGGCCTTTAGCCATAGAGAGGCCTGCTGAATGGAGCCACTGGACTGTTGATTATTAACATGTAATTGGCCACGAGCCGCACTATGCTCAATGGGGTGAAACCAACCCCTTAACTCTCTCGGGTCCACTTAACTGCAGCGGTGACCTTTAACTCATGGTTGAGCTATGTAGTCAATCATTTTTTGTGTCAAAACTAAAGTCAAACATCAATTTATGGGAGCATACAGTAGGACAGTGGTAATGCAAGCGGAGGAGATGGTGGAAAAGGGTGATGCATTTGGCGTTTTGCTTTACTGTGCGCTCCTTGTGCTGCAGTTTCTACATAAAGCAAATGTTTTGCACCACAGATTGCAAGAAAAAGTAGTTGTTTTGTTGTCTAGCTGAGTAAAATAAGGCAGCACGCTCTCCATATTGAGCCACAGCACTCTACAGACATTTATCTACCATAAAAAAAACTTAATTCAGTAAGTGAAAGGAAATGGCTCTCATCACTGGAACTAAGAGACATACTGGAACAAACAACAAGAATTAGTGTTTGCTTTGTGTAGAAGCCAAACACATAATAACAAGTCAGGAGGGAGACCAACCAGTTAAAGCTGCTATTCTAATAAGAAGCAAGCATCCACTCTGCTCGGGTGCCTTTGAGCAAGTCACTCAGTGTAGCAGTTATGATGAGGTAAAAGGGGGTGGATGTATGTCCAGTATTGACTTCAAGCTGCAGGCAAGAGTTTAAAAAGAGTATTAATTTGGCACCATCATGTGCCTGGGTTGATGTGCAGAGGGTCAATTCATGCTGCAGCTGAGCATGCACTACAGTGACCACTGTCCGGAAGTGGTGTCACGTCGCATTCTGTTGTTGAGACTCTCTAGGGACCCCTCCTTGGGAGCTGGTATATAAAACGACTGACCCGCCCCTCCCGGACAAATGAGATCCAGCCCGGCCCGACGCGCCTGTGCTGCGCTTCATGGATGCTTCAGCAGCTCAGCATCCTCAGCCCTGCCCAGCTTTGCGGAATTAACACTGTGACACGGACAAATCTGACCGCTCTCTCCTCCTCTTCAGTAAGTGCAGTCTTCATTAAATAAAACTGCTCTGAGTGCATGACATAATGTTTTTGCGGGCGCTTCAGTGTCGCAGTTAGTGTGAGCTTGGCGCAGTTGCCTCTGGGTTTGTAACATGTTCATGTTTTAAAAGGCTGCAGAGTGCGCAGCGATGTGCTGCCATGACATCAGATGGAGAGACTTTGTTTGAATTTGCTGAATTTAAGTGTCAACAACAGACGCAGTGAAGACAATGAACTAAAGAATTAACAAAAAGCTTTTATGTGCGGCACAGGGGGCTGACGTAATTAAACTAAACTGTGTTGCAGGCTAAATATAGAACTGTTGTTCATTGTGTGGATGCATGTTTGTGGCAAGAGGGCAAACTTTCTGAAAATTTGATTATTTGATTCGCGTCATGATGACAGCCAACTCGAGGTCATACTTGAGACATCATCTCATGCAGCGCATCACTGCACACGGCGTGCCGGAAACTGGCTTGATTGTTACCATGGCAATAAGAGGGCGTGTCCCTGTTCGGGACAGCAGCCATGGACCACACCCTTCTCTGATACAGTCTCCAGAGATGCGCCTGGGTGGGCTGCTGAGCTGGAAAGGGACAGACTTAAACCTAGATTTTGGGCTTTGCTTTAAATATTAAAATAGTTTATAATAGTGCTGTATGGCTTTATATTTTTACTGTAGTCAAAAGAGTAGAATTGCAGTTATCCTGTAGCTATTTAAGGATACAAAAACTAAAACTCCCTAATATATCACAATAGGTATATTCTGGAAATATTACAGTGATGTTTTTTGTCAGATCATTTTTCTTCCAGCCTCACGTCTACCATTTGTTCTCTTCAGGACTACCACACACCACATTAACCAGAGTGCTGTGAGAGCTGCCATGGCGAACAGAGGGCCCAGCTATGGACTGAGCCGAGAGGTGCAGGAGAAGATCGAGCAGAAGTATGACCCAGACCTGGAGCAGCGGCTGGTGGACTGGATACTTGCACAGTGTGGAGGGAACCTGGAGAAGCCGCAGGCGGGCAGAGATAACTTCCAGAAATGGCTGATGGATGGAACAGTGAGTGGCTGCAGTACCTGGACTTAAAATAGAAGTTATATTTAATTATTAAAGCCAGAAAGTAACTCAGATGTCAGATTTAAAGAGGCCATGAGTAAAGGCTAAAATAAGCAACTAGATTTATGTGCCCATTTTTTTTGAAAGCTTCAGTAAATAATATCGATCTGCATTTGTTGTATTGCGATATTACATTTGGTTATTAGAATGACAGACCGTTATCATTACTCCTCAATGACTGTGTATTAATGACCACTGTGTTTTGTGTTGCAAAATAACCTGAGTGATTTTCAAATCGCAAACTGTTGTGGTCCTTCCTTTCCTAACAAATCATTTTTATACTGAGTCATTCTGGCAGCTTTCGAAAAACTCCTCTGCCCCCCTGCTTAAAGTGCTCAGCACTGTGAGACTTAATTAACAGCCAATTATAAAATGCACCCTGCACAGTGCTGCACTGTCCTCCTGCTTGACACTCCAGCTGACTGTAATGTTTAAAAAAAATAATTCAGACAAATCCATGGTAGACGAGGCAGAGACATCAATTTCTGCACCACCGATTAACTCAACAGGCACTAACGCAATGCAGCCACAAAACATTATCTAGACTGTTGGGAAATGACTCTCGCAATTATAAATGGTATGAGCTTTCATAACTGAATCCAAATGCACTTTTTATACTCGTTCTCTTCAGGCAATGGCAACAGCATCACACCCGTTAACAAAAATATCAATTATGCTCAGCTGTCTTTTTAGTGTGTTACTTTAATATTACCCATTCATATTTCTGACCTCCCTTGTCCCAGGTCCTCTGCAGGCTTATCAACAGCCTGTATCCGAGGGGAAAGGAGCCTATCAAGAAGATCCCAGAGACGCAGATGGCCTTCAAACAAATGGAGAAGATCTCTCAGTTCCTGCAGGCAGCTGAAGCTTATGGAGTCACAACCACTGACATATTTCAAACTGTGGACCTGTGGGAAGGTGATTTTACCTCTGATTACTTACATTCATCTCCTGCTGTAGTCATTCACATTTATGAGCTGTTTTCACTACATGCCATGACATAATCTTTTGTTCTGGCAATAGGAAAGGACATGGCAGCAGTGCAAAGAACTCTTATGGCTCTGGGGAGTGTGGCTGTCACCAAGGACGATGGTCATTACAGAGGTGACCGAGACTGGTTCCACAGGTACAGATAAGCCTCACTGTAACAAAGAATTCGCAACTGCATGCCCATGATGCGTCATGTTCCTCTACCTCACCTTGTAACTGTTATTCATGTGCAGGAAAGCCCAGGGGTATCGGCGAGAGTTCAGCCAGGAGCAGCTCCGCCAAGGCCAGAGTTTGATCGGCCTGCAGATGGGCAGCAACCGCGGGGCTTCCCAATCTGGTATGACGGGCTACGGTATGCACCGTCAGATCATGTAGGGCACTTACTAGCTAACCTGCTTCCCTGCTTCCAGACCTTATTTTCTACTACTACTACCACGGAAAGTTGTAGCCCCAAAACCTCCATATCCTTTGTAGCACCTGCCATGTTAACCTTAATTTTCCTGGAATTGCTGCTTCCCCAAACAGAGTGTTCTGTCTTTAAAAAGATGATGTCAAATGCTGTAGATCTCTTCCTCCAAGCTCTCCTCCTGTCCCTCTCTTCCCCTTTGTCATGTGCTGTTCTCCTGTAGCATTGTTTATTTTCCATGTCTAAAAGATTACTTAATGTGGAACTCAACGTCATGTCATTCAACGTCAGTTTTCATCATCAGTGTTATATACATTTTAAATCTGAAATACTGTAAGCCACTGTTACAGCATGCTGTATATATTTATTTGTATTTATGTAAACATTTATTTACATTTCTCATTGGTCATTGTTTTAGGATGATCTGTTACTGTTCATTATTTCGCCTTAAACCTAATGGAACTCAGTGGTGATGTCTCTGCTATCTCGTCTGAAGACATGTTGCAGTATCCTCTGTAACCAAATCAACCTCACGTTGTGCCTGGTTATGGGACTACAGAGACCGGGTCCTGATATGTTGGCCCCAAATTCTTAATGAGTTTCATTCATTCTGAGCCATGCCCTTGTTATTTGTTTGTTAGATTATGTCTTTGCCCACAATGTGGCCATTTTGTGTCCATGCAAGTATATGTGCAGCAGCCAACATGTATGGCAGTGACGTTTCCATTTCTGGTGCCACTTTAAGACTTTGCTTGAATGTGCACTTTTATGTATTGTCATGTTTATATTTTTAAATATATTTATATCTGGGGGCTTGTGAGAAGAAGTATTGAAAAAATAAAGTATGTGAACATATGTCTGCGTCAGTCTGCATGACACACAAGCTGGGTATGTAGATATCTGGGGAACCAGGGGTGTTTGGTGTATGTTCAGAGTGTTGTGGGTGTTTTTCTTATCTTGGTTTTATGTTACAGCTCCTCCCTTACGCCCATCCCTGCTGTGTGTCCTCACTGACTGCACACAATATAATAAAGGGGCAGCAGCACGGCATAATGATTAGGTTGACGGTTCCTCTACCAGATAGTCCTGATTCAAGTCTGTGTGCCAGAAAACCTTTGCCTTGCTGAGCAACCTTGAGTAAGATATTAAATCCCTTGCTGGTCCAGTAATGCTGTTTAATAGCTGATCTTACCTTTGTGGAGGGTGAAGCAAAAACAAAGGAGCCACTGAAACTGCCAGGATTTTTTTCTAAAACTCTATATTGTACTGTTCTTTGGGAAAAGATGTAGTTCTCAATTTCTTTTCTAAAGCTTTACCATCCTATGGAAATTTAGTTACCAAACGTTCACCCTAAACATGGTTTGCATCTAGATAAGATCTGAAAGGCACTATCATTAAGATAAGCAGAAACCTTTGTCTAAGGCATTGAGGTTGGGCTTTGGAGCACAAAAGGTCACATTTTATGTCAGTGATCCAGTTTATGGGGTCAATTGTTCCTGACTGTTGGCATTTTAAAAGTCACATATGAGAAAAGCACGCATGGATTAACATTTAAGCTTGTTATTAGCATCCAGCGACTAAACAGAGGCCATTACAATGCTGTCCTTTAAATCTTGGATAATAACAACAGCTAATATTATTCTAAGGTGTCCATTCCTCATGCAATCTTTTTACTGCTCAGTTAAAAAATAATAAAGGAATACTTCAACCCTAAAATGACCACTTGTATATCAAATTGTTATCCCATGTATTCCATACATCCCATACATTAAATTCATGAAGAAAACTTTGATTTTCTCATTCGCTTGCACAGTGAACAAAGAATCCAAAAACAGAACATTGAAGTAAACTCTTTTTAACAGAGTAAAGTGGCTGTGTTTAACAACATAAAAACTATATGAAAACATGTCGGTGAAGATTCTCAGTATATGAAGTATATGAAAACAGTTTACAAAATCTCACACAACTTGTGAATTATAATCCATGTGCTCACTACACCCCAAACAGACAGCCCTTTGCGACAGGGAACTGAAGTAAAAGGGAAACTTATCCTTGCTCTCTTCGGAGCCAGATTCCATTGACAAAAACAGTAATTTTATGTCACTGATCATGGGAGTTGATGCTCTGGCACTGCCTGGATCAGTTAGTTTGTTTGTGTTATTATGTGAATTTGATGAATCTGAGCTTAATCTTGAAAACACCAAAGTTATACAATAACACAATCAAACTAATCAATCAATGCAGGGATACACCAGCAGCTCTCATGTTCAGTGAGGTAAAATTACTGTTTTTGTCAATGGAGTCTGGCTCTGAAGAGAGCAAGCACAATTTCCCTTTTAGTTCAGTTCTGTGTTGGAAAAGTCTATCCGGGCACTGAGCATATAATTGGATAAATAAAACTTGGATTATACTGCACAAGGTGTGTGAGATTTTGTAAACAAATGGTTTGATATAGCTTTGCTGTTGTTAAATACGTCTATAATTTCAATCCATCAAAAATTTTCTCCATTTTTGGATTCTTCGTTCAAAGGGAGGCATGCGAGACAAACATCTTCATGAATTCAATAGAACATGGGGTGAAAAGGTGATATACAAATCGTTATTTAGGGGGTTAAGTATTCCTTTAAGTTTTATATCCTGTTTGCTTCACTGTATAGGAAGGCACCGCATGTAAAACTATGCGGCCTCTTGCATGTCTGGCCCTGACATACACTCTGTGCTTATTATTAGCCTCAACTAGACTGGAGAAGCATCTGCAGGGGCACAGGTGATGTGTAACTCACAGACTCAATAAGTAAGCCACAAACAGTTGGACCAATGAAATGGCTTTGAGAGCTGAGGTCACTCTTGTCCAAAGTTCTTGTCCAGTTTATGTTTTCTCTGGTTGGTGCCAGTAGCACAAGTGGTTATGAGGCAAACTATGTACTCAATTTAACGTCTCTTAGTCTAGAAGTTTTTGCATTGTTGATAGATAGGTGCATCAGGTACAATGTTGCGGATGAGGTTTAGAGTCATTCTCTTGCTCCTTCTATTGGCAGTCAGGTGTGTTACACAGGAAGTAACCCCAAACAAAGACTGCGTTTGTGGACATCCTGGTATACCTGGGGACCCCGGACACAATGGCACACCTGGCAGAGATGGCCGAGATGGACTCAGAGGTGAAAAAGGTGATCAAGGTAAGTTTAGAAAATACCCCTCCTTCAGAACGTACCTTTATGCACATTTTCCTAAATGTCTAAAGCTTCAACTTTACAATTGTTGATCACAATATTTTATGAACCCCGATTAAAAAGGTCAAGTTGGCCCCGTTGGAGCAGCTGGCAATGATGGCCACAAAGGAGACAAAGGGGAACCTGGTATGTATCTCCAGAATTTACTGCACCTGCCTTACTGAAAAAAAAAACAGGTCTGTTAAGTTACCTGTGTTGAAACAATGATCTATTTTTACCAGTTGTATCTACATTAAGACAATGTATTCGTACAACTGTCACACCTTTTCTGGCTAAACACTGATCATTAAGGATATACGTGGTATACAAGTTATATTTGTCATTTATAGGCGCAGTTGGTCCAGCAGGGCTCAAAGGAAAAAGGGGAGAAAATGGCGAACGGGGGCCTCCTGGGAAAATGGGGCCCCAAGGAGTCCAAGGGCCCATTGGACTCAAAGGAAGTAAGGGAGAGCTTGGGCTGCCTGGACCCCAAGGACCTAAAGGGGATTTTGGGCCTCTTGGACCACAGGGTCCCAAGGGAGAAGTTGGCCTTAGAGGTGACAGAGGCATTCAGGGGCCACTGGGACCCCCTGGCAGGCCAGGGCCCAAGGGGGAAATTGGTGTTCCAGGTCACAAAGGCAATATTGGTTATCGTGGGGAGAGAGGGTCTCGAGGAGAGAAAGGTGACAAAGGTGAGAAGGGAGAAGAACTTGTTATCTCTAAAAGCGCCTTCTCAGTGGGACTCACAGCACAAAGTAAACTCCCTACACCTAATGCTCCGATCCGGTTTGACAAGATCATTTACAATGTGCAGAATCACTACGATCCACAGACAGGAAGATTCACATGCTCCGCAGCGGGAGCATATTTCTTCACCTACCACATCACGGTCTTCTCCCGGAACGTGAAGGTTGCTCTGGTGAAGAATGGTGCAAAGATCATTCACACCACGGATAACTACCAGAGCAGCGAGGATCAGGCAGCAGGGGGCGCTGTGCTGAACCTGGATGTGGGAGACAAGGTGTGGCTGCAGGTGACTGGGGGAGAGCTGTACAATGGGCTCTTTGCTGATGAAGATGATGACACGACCTTCTCTGGGTTCTTAATCTTTGGGGCTTAGATGAGGCAAACTTTCTTTATAATTGATGTTGAATATTTCTAAAGAATAGAAATGAGTCATAAGAAATCAGCCTGTCTCTAAACTTTGGTTGACTATATAATGCAATGTACAGTGTACCTAAGTACATTTACTCACCTACTGTACTAAAGAACAAATTTGAGGTACTTGTACCTTAATTAAGTATTTCAATTTTATTCTACTTAAATACTTATACTACTCAAATCATACTTTTCACTCCACTGCATTTATTTGACTACTGAGGTGTCTCCTTCAAGCTCATCTCCTCTACCAGAGGGCCCTGGAGTCTGAGGGTTCTGCACCTGATGAAGCTATGGGCAAAACACGTCTGTAACATCTCAAATGAAGACTTAAGGAAGAAGCAATTCAGCCATCTTATGTGAGGTGTATTGGCTTATTTGCTGAGGACTGACACACACACACACACACACACACACAAATATATATATATATATACCTATAACACAATTGTAATATGATATAGGCAATGATACAACACTCACTGGGTAATTTGTATGCATTGTAAGTACTTTTCCTTTTTACACCAAGAACATTTTGCTGATAATACTTCCATACTTAAATCAAACTCGCAGGATTTTTACATTGTTGTATTGCTACTTTAAAAATAATCTGAAATTGTGTGCGCATCATGTGGTTCATCTTGGACATGCAATTCTGCTGAAAATGAGAGCCTGTTAATGAAAAACAAACATTAAACAGATGCCATAGAGGTGTGGCGTTGTTATTTGTCACATGTAAAAGTTACCTTAGGTATGTGGTTATCTTCTGCCCTGGCTGCACAGAATCACTAAGTCATTGTTTCTATTGGGATGGGCACGCACAGCACATTAATTGTCTTGGCATGATACAATGAAATGACACGAGCAAGACAACTGGATGGTCCAGTCTTTTTCTGTCTTCAAAGAGCCGCAGGAAGTGAGAAGCAGCATTCTCCTTCCTTCAATGAAGAACGCTTATGTGTGGGCGTGGCTTCGCGGTCACGGAATCATCTACTTAATTATGATTGGCTGTCAGCCGACTGGTCACGCTGCGGTCAACCAGTAACCTTAATTGTAACCTCTCTAAGCCCCGCCCCTTGGAAACACTGCAACAAGTGCATTAATGATGCTCGCGAGCTCAAGCCTCCAAGAAAGACCTCTTTGGAGTCATCAGCGAAATTATCAGCTTTTCTTCAGCCACTCCGGAGGATATCGCGTGACTCAGTGTTTACTTTGTGCACTCACCTGATTAACATCAGGTTTTGCCGGTCGGAGAAAGCGAAATTTAAAAAACCGCAACGCTTGCGCAATTTAGAAGAAGTTTATGAGTGAGCTCGTGAGCTAGCTAAAGTTGCTAGCTAAGTGTGTTTGAGAAGTCAGCCAGCCATTTGTCTCAATATGTTGCGGGGTAACTAGTTAGCAGGGCCAGCGCACTTGTCGTGGTTGTTGTACCCGACATGTTTTTGGGAGAGGACGACGAGTGCGAGGCAGTAAGTCGTCGGAGCTCGGAGAAACCCGGGCGACTTCACTATGGCTAAGAAACAAAAACAGCTGCTGTGTTGATGTGAGAGAAAGAAGGGCAGGCGGACAACATCAGCGACTATGAGCAGGGTGAGCAAAAGTTTTGGTTTATATTAACTGCGCAATTTAATCCAAAGCTAAAACAAGTGAAAGTATAATTCATTCAAATTACTTATTTGTGTGTAACTTTGCAGCTGCGGTGATTTCCCTCTTGTGCTCCTGTTTGAAATGGGACCAGAGGGGGTTATTGTGGTGCATTATAGCCATGGTTGTTATAGAGATGTGGGAGATGCCAGGCTGTGCAGGGAGTTGGTGAAGGAGGGGCAGGGGGCCACCTACTACAAAGAGCTTTATGGCCAAAGAAAGTTAATTAATGCAGAAATAAATAAGCAGTTTGGCCCCGAGTTCTTTATGAGCTTAGAAAACTACTCAGTGTAATCCCTTTCCATAGCTCCTTGTTTTCAGTTTCTGCTTCTTTCTTAGCATGAAGCTACACTTCTTGTGTGAGTCCTCAGTTCACTCACAATTAATTATCTTGTTTTCATGGATCCACAGATGAAATTTCTATATTAGAGTTACACTCTGGTGCCTGCACAGGTCACAGTCCAGTGCTTTATAGAGGATATATAAAAACATTCACACATTTTTACAACACTGCTAAACAACTACAATATAATTTTACACCAGGCTACTCTCTGTTTTATACAAAGTTGTAATTCTGCCTCATGGGGTACAAAAATAGAGCTTTGTGTCAATAATTTATGAACTCATTCTGCATTTGTTTTCTTCTTTTTGCACTTCAGCAACAAAGCAACTTTGCCCAGCGCTCTGACTCAGTCCAAAAATGACGTTTGCGCTGGTAAAATACTGTGTAAACTATTTCCAAGCCCACAAACTGGTGTTTAAGATGACCTCAGATCCTTGTTTAATATTAGTGGATTTATGCTCTATTAAAAAGCTCTTTGTTCTCATGGTTATGAAATGTTGATGGAGCAGTCTTTTGATTATTGTTGCACCACTGTCAGGTTACACCGTTGACTGTTGACAACGAGGCTCAGTGGCGTTTTGTCCTCTGTAAGCCTTGTGCACTGTGGTGTTGGATTTCTGTGCATCTGTCTCTATGACAGTCCACAGCAGATCAGGTGAGTAAGTGGCTGCCTCTGTGAGAGTGCTGACACTCCCTGGTTTGGCCTGTACCTGCACTTCCCACGCTTTATAGAAAGGGGCGTGGCTGTCTCCCAAGTTCCTTCTGTCCTCAAGATCAGAAAAATGAGGAACTAGGTCATGAACAAATATGAGACTGTAGCCAGGAAATAGAGTCGGTAGCACATGTGCTCAACTGATCCAGGTGGGACATGTTGTCTGTTTCACAGTGTGAGGTGACATATTTTTATGGATACTGTCTGTGGAAGTTTAGCCTCTATCTCTTCATTTTCACCCTTGAAGAAACTGTGTAAGATTTAGATTTATTTAATTCATTAATTTAATTGCATCCAGTTGAAACTTCTTCCGCTTAGATTTCCTTCAGTGTTCATTGTTAAGGAGGTTTTAACCAAAAGCTGAATTATCCGCAGAGGTCTCTTCCTCTCCTAAATGGACAGACCAAGTACATTACACCGGTGAAAATGCTGAAAAAAGCAGTTTCATAGTACAAATCAGTGTTTCTTTGACACCGCTCGGCTCTTTGGAGAAGGGCTGCTAGCCCAGCATCTGCATGTGTTCATGTTTTTCTCTGATAACCAAAGATCCAGACATTCAGGAGCGTTTTACGAGGAGCTGAATAATCGGCAGAGGTCTCTTCCTCTCCTAATCAAACAGACCTGGTGATTAAAACTGGTAAAAACCCTAAATAAATGCATGCAGAGGGGCTGCTTACTATGATGGCCGACAGGAAAATGCAAATGGCCCTATCTAGACCCAGTGTTTAGTTTGTCTGTTCTGTGCTACTGTTGAGATTTTAGCAGACTCTGTGGGTGAGGACCCGCTCCCTATTTTTAATTTTTAATTTCAGGTGATTTCACACTAAAGAAAATGTACTTATTTTATTTTATTATTCCATTTCTGCCAATATATCTGCCTAAATACTACACACTGAACCTTAAAATGTAGGGGGCACACAGGCCAAGTCGCCCCCCGCAGTCAAGCCCTGGTGGGCTGTTTACAAGCTTTGGGTGTCACTCTCAGTCAGTGCTGAATAGCCTAGTTGTCGCCCTGATTAGGCTATCATGTGTAGATGAAACCAGTCCTGAACACAGACTGGTAAAGCTCCAATAATCAGATTATTACTAGGAGGGAAGAGGAATAGGCCATATACACACACAAACATACACACTCCCACACACTGCTCCCTCACACAGTAGATTTTTCTTGCTGACGCTTTTAATCTTAGCTGGGAAACAGGCTATAAGGTCAGATACCAAGCATTAAGGCCAAAAAGATTTTAATATGGATTCAGATATTTAATACTGAACATTGTCAAGTGTTTCTTAATCTTGACAGACATTTGTACATTCACAAACTCATTCACATGAAGGACAAAATACAGTGAACTTTTTCTTAAGTACTGAACATATGTGCAGCTTAAGTTTCACAGAACCCAAGTTGCACACACTGATTTAGCTAATCAGCCAATCTGTTCTTTAAAACATTATGGCGTGCTGTTTTAAGACATCCTAGAGGTATGTCTTCCTCACAGCTCTCATTCCTCAAGACAAATAGACAACCAGTAATGTGACAGCTTACGGAGGAATGGTGGTGTTGCTCCGGGGTGGTTGTGTCTGTCTCAGAGTTAAGCCAGAGAATGGAAAATGACAGAAAGCTTACTTTCCCCTGATACTCTATGTCTGGTTGTTTTTCAATTTAATGCTCAGTTCATTTTGGCCTAATGATTTTTATCCTACCTTCAGGCAGAGCATACCCCTGCAGAGGTGAACTATGGGTAGGAGGGCTCTTATCACTATGCATTTATGACTCCTTGCATAACCGCCTGGGTTTTCTAGCCAAACAGGAAGGGAGTCAGTAATTTAAATGCCTTCCTCCCTGCTCAGCTCTGTGCAGGCATGTGTGTGAATGCACATGCACATGGACATGGGTTGTGCACTATGAAAAAAGGATGCTCTAACTAATGGTGCATGTGTTTTTGGAGCACATGCTGTTAGCCCTTGTATACATGTTTATGTATCTGGGTGAGTGTTCATCCTTGTCTCTGGGAGTCTAATCTGAGGCTGGCTCCAGCTGGCTGCCATGTGTGGGGGGGGGGGGGACTCCTCCCTGAGCTCTTAATTAACTCTGGACCAGGGCCCCAGTGTGCCGCTCCCATCCACAGCCTAGCAGGAGGAAGCCGTGGAGCAGCAGTTATCCAGCTACACAGGCTGAGCAAGACGATATAGGAAAGTTTAACATAGTAAAAGTGACCTGCATTCACAGACAGTAAGGCGTGATATTCACACGTGAGTAATATTTGTCTGGATGTTGCAGGATGCATAGCTGTAGACATGGACGTAGTAGATACTTTTTTCTATTTACATGCTTCATTTATACTTGTATTTTTGTCATTTTAGAAAATATGGAGGAAAGGGAAAGACACCAGTGCTTGGAATTGAAACCTTTGATCTTTTGACTTGTATTGACTTGACTATGTATTTTCATTAAGTGCATGGTAGTATAAACATACAGTGCCTTGAGTTAAAGCAATACAGTTTACCATTTATATTTTATATCTCAGGGTAAAAATAGGTTTTATAATTAAGGAAACTGCTTTTGTCCGGGTTTCTTTGTTTGGTACGATTGGAGGGCTGCCAACAGACTTGCCACTTCAACATGGAAACAAGTTTGTCCACAGTGCACATCAAACATTGTAATTGAAGTTAATGCATTCTGTCTAGACACAATAAGGCTCATAAAGCCATCGCCAGGTTTAAATGGCATAGTTAGAGTCACACAAACTAACATCCTGTAGAGTTGTTGCTGTATAGAGCATATTGCAAATAAGCTGAAATCTGTGTTGTCTTTTTGTGAAAGTCACCACCTGCGTCAGCTTGGTTCTGACTAACAGCACTGCCAAGTATTAGTAGACGCCAACTGGCCTGTGACAGTTGGCGCCAAGTTCGGGGAGAAGGCAGAAAGGTGTTGAAGGATAGCACTGTCGGTAGAGTGGCTGATAGCACGGCGTGAGCATTCAAAACAAAAACAAGCTACT